ATTCATCACCTCTGTGGGGAGATCTTCCCTGCCTTCCAGACTGTGGAAACCTTTTATTTAATACTCAAAGCCCCTTTGCTTGTTAATGTTCCAGACTAATCAGCTATTGCAGCTGAAGAGTCTGTGTGGTAGGCCCCCTCACTGTGCATCTGTGGCCAGCCCAGCCCAGCCCAGCCCAGCCCAGTCAATCCTATTCCCAAACGTGACATGAGACCAGTGTGGGCTGCTTGCCTGGGTTCATTTTGGTCTACATAGGAGGCTCACTGTGTCCTGCTATCTGCTCTCTGGTTCGTTTCTTACCATTCCTCACTCAGTCTACGTTGGACTCACACCAGAAGCTCAGGGTGCACAGAATGTGCTGTTCCTTCCTGGCCCTTCAGACTCCAAGGCATGTCCTCTCCTGTAGGATAACCAGGCCTTGCACAGATTAAAACACATAAACTTCCATCTTTCCTCTTGTTGGATTGTGTCCATGTCTTGTCTCTGATGACTGGGGGACCAGTTAAAAGTCCCCATTCTGAGCTCTATAGTTACATGTCAGACCCTCTAAGACTCTATTACTTACCCATAATTGTGGGACATGGGCCTAAGATGGTTTGAGATTTCATAGTAATACTCCCCTTTCAGCAAAGGTCAAATAGAAAACACAAGCCATTCCCATTGGGTATAGAATAGATATTCCCTGGACAAGCCCTCTGGAAATGCTGAAATGAGTCCCTGTGTAGTGGAACTGGGAGACCTTGTGATGAAAAACCCAATAGAGCGAGTGGCCTGGCTCTGTAGTGAGGCCTGAGCAGGGTCCTGGGCTGGAGGAACCCTGGGATCCAGCACCTTCTTAGTAGGAGAAATATATAAAACAGGTAGTGTTCATGAGGGAGCTAGGCAGAAGCACTATCCAAGTGCAACACCCCAACCTGTGTGTTCCAAACTCCGCTCAGCCATCTCTCCACAGTTCTGCAGCCAATCCCCACAGTGTGGAGCTATTTCCAGGAATGCAACCCTGGCCATGGCCTCCACTTTCCTGAGGCCTTCCATACTTCTCTCTCACAGAGCAAGGTGTCCAAAGAGTAGCTGCCAGAGTCTTCATGGCTTCCTGGGACATCTTGGGCCCACCCTCTTCCCTCTCCTCCCCTCTGCCGCTGAGCTACACCTGAGGACATTTGGCTTTAGCTGGCCCCTTCTCGTGTCTCCATCAGACTAGGAACACAGGAAGCTGGTGGTGGTGATTTTTTTTTTGGTTTTTTGAAACAGGGTTTCTCTGTGTAGCCCTGGCTGTCCTGGAACTCACTCTGTAGAACAGGCTGGCCTTGAACTCAGAAATCCGCCTGCCTCTGCCTCCCAAGTGCTGGGATTAAAGGCGTGAGCCACCACCGCCCGGCTCGGTGGTGGTGATTTAATCAGTACAATGTCTGAACAACTCGGTGGGCCATTGGGCATGGAAGAGGAAGTCACAGTCACTGCTAAATTATCCTCAACCCAAACATGACCTGGGCTACATCTCTTCTCTGCTCAGTTCTTTCTGGGCCCACCTAGTTCCGGGTCTCCAGCTGGCAGAGGGAGGGAAGGCTTTCATTCATCCAGCTGAGCTGCTGTGAGCTCTGACTTGAAGGGAAGCTATAGAAACTCTTTATGGAAAGTAACTAATATGTGTAAAGCTTATAAAATAAATTGAAAGTTGTGTTGGCGCCAGTCAATCTGGTTCTCAAGCGTTACATATATTAGCTAGGTCACATTTTACAGTTAGTAATGTGAAGCTGGTACCTTGAAACTGTCCATGTCACTATATGCACCATAGAAAGTGACCAATAGTATACCCCACCCCAAAATGGCATACTACCACACTTCTGATTATGCACAGGTACACATGTAGGGATGGTGTCTCTCTCTTCCACCACTGTGGTCCAGCATAGAAGCTCCAGATGTGGGCAGAAGGTGTGGTGAGCTCACAGAACTCCCAGGGTGAGGCAACAGTGAACATCATCTGAGACACTGGCACTAAGTGAGCAGATGTGCTGGTACCCAGAGGAAAAGTTATCTGACCTACGTAAAATCCATCGGCAAAGGCAGAGGGCCAATGGCCTTGAAATGTGGATGTGAGGGCCATACAGAAAATGATGGAAGCCAAAGCCTGTCCCAGGTGAGGGCCCAACAGCTTCTGGGAACATCTGTCTGTCCAGGTCAGCATCCTCTCAGACAAGAGGAACAAAACTACAGACAACACCAAGTTCATCCAGGAGTAGTTCTTTGATTCTGCTCAGAAATCAAAGGAAAGCAGAGGAGAAACTATGATTCTGTTTTTGGTTTTATTTTATTTTTATTATGTTTTAAGCGTGTGGGTGTCTTGCTTGCATGTATGTTTGTGAACAGTGTGTGTGGCTGGAATATGCAGAGGCCAGGAGACGACATCAGATCTGCTGGAGCTGGAGTTACAGACAGTTGTGAGTTGCCATGTAAATGCTAGGAATGGGACCCAAATCTTCTGAAGAACAAGCAGTGCTCTTCACGGCTGCTGCATTTCTAGACCCAAGGACGACATGTTCTGGCTTATTCAAGCTTTTATCCTCTTTCCCCAATCTCTCTCTCCCTCCCTCCCTCCCTCCCTCCCTCCCTCTGTCCCTCCCTCCCTCTCTCGCTCTCTCTCTCTTTCTCTCTCTCTCTCTCATTCTGAGGGTTGAATCCAGGGCCTTGTGGATGTCGGCCAGTTACACTCCATTCCTTTTTGTTCTTGAGTGCTAGGTAGAATGGAGCGGAAAAAAAAAAAAAACCCAACCCAAACCAACCAACCAAACAACCAACCAATCAACCAACCAACCAAACAAAATCTAGCTAAAAATGTAGGAAGCTTCAGTACGGACTTAAAAATCCTAGACCCATACACTAATGCAGCTGTTGCCTTGACCCAGTGCTATTCAGGGCTGTGTCCTTAGAAGCCCCTCTCCGAGGTGCTGAACTGTCCGTAGGGGTTGCTTGCGGGAGGGGAGCTAAGAGTCAACTCCTTAAGGCCCAGGACTCACTTCATTTCTAATGACATGAATGAGGACTTCTTCCTTGGGCACCCATGGGTGTGCTGTCCATTGCTCTTCACCATCCCCGACACTGTCCATCTCCCTGCCCCACCTCCCTCCAGGGAGGCCAGCTGTGCAGATTGGCACCTCTGGCCAGGACCGGCTTGTTTCCGGCTTCCTCTAGTTCCTTTCTGTCTCTTGCCAATTTCCTTCCACAGCTTTTGGCCAAGTCGGCTGGAGTTAAAACAATTTACATTGTTTCAGAAGGCAACACTTCCACAAAAGAGTTAGCACCAAAATAGAATCTGGGAATCCCCAGGTGGGTGGGCCTACGGGATCAGTGCACAGGGAGGCGTCTTGGGAAAGGAGGTGACGACTGAGTACTGGAAGATGTACAGTTTGGAGGGTCACCTGTGTGCCAGCCCGGAAGGTCTTTATGGATGAGAATGGTCAGCTCATGTGGCTTATTCTTGTCTGATACTTCCAATACAATATCAGAGAAGCCAATCCTTCCACTATCTATCTGGTTCAATGCTTGTTGTGTAACAGCTTCTGGCTTTGGAGTCCAGAGGACGGGACCTTGGTCATTCTTGGTGCCTATTTCTGCTCAAAGGTGGCACTCTCCCAGGCCCCAAACCTAAGTCATAGTTCCAATTTGCCAAGGGACAAGCTTAATGTATTTCTTTGGGCCTTTCTTTGGCCAGTTTAGGTTTAGGGATGTCTTAATGCACAGTAGCTTACTTCTGCTCTTCCAGGAATGCCTAACTTATTCCTATTGACAAGGTCTTGCATTCCCACTGGCAGGATGGTCTGATCCTTTGCCTTGCACCAAGAAATTTGGGTGCCTAGTTGAAATGGATCTCTGCTAGCAGTGAGATACTGAAGAGAACTCTGAGCTTGTTTGACTTATAGCCTTGGGGCAGGAAGGGCATCTGCTGCTATGGTTGCTGGCTTGGCCATGCTTGCCAACTGGTCTACTCTTCAATAGAGTTGTACCTAAGCTTCCCCTGGGAGGGGCGTAATAGACATGGGGGGGAAACATGTCACAATGACAATGCACACTGGTGAAGGGCTTCTTCATTCCCCTGACAAGAGTGTTCTAGTTCAATGCGGTCCACCTTTGGGCATGTGAGCCCTCCTGCACTGTTTCAGTACAGACTCTGGTAGTGTGGCATGTGGGAATACCCAGGCACATTAGAGAACCTTTGTCTAGCTTTACATAGTGGAGAAAGTTCTGGGTAGAAGTTGTGGGTGTTTATACTGCAAGTGAAGCAAGCCTTGAGGTCCCTGATTCAATGAGTCAGCACCCAGGCCAGTTACTGGAGGTTAGAGAACTTGAGGTAGGGACTGCCATAGACATTGCTAGGGACACATCTCACAAAGCCCACAGGTGGTTCTTCTGGAGGCTGGCAGATGCCTTCTGGGCCATGTGGGGCACAAAGGTCTTGGGAGAGATGTTGGTCTTTTGCTTACGCTGAAAGGAGAGGGTGCTGTTGCAACAGGGTTCCATCTTAGTTCCCTATGAGCCTGGTAATCTGGAACATTCTCACTGGAATGCAGGACTGGCATGTGCAACTTTATTGAGTCAATCAAAAGGTCAAGGCCAAACTTTGCCCTGGGAATTCGTCTTACTGGGGGACATAGAGCCTGAAGACACTGCCTTCTGTGTAGAAGGCCCACAGGTTCACACTCTAATGTTCAGATTTCTCTTCCACATGCTTTAAGACAAGGACCAGGTCTGGACTAGACAATGTTGATGGGTTGGGGCTCTCTGAATGGTCTTTGGGGTCTCAGGAAGCTTCTGTGTGCCCTCTGCTTAAGCAGTGTTGGAAGGAGTGGTCTCCAGCTACTCACACTTCAAAGACAGCATCACCAGCTGTGCCACTGCACAACCAAGGGGTGCCTAATAAAGTCTCAGTTATAGATCTGCTTTGTCTTAGGGATTCTGCAGCAGTGAATCTTTTCTGCAGAAATAAAACCACCACACACCGGGGCTGTCTGTATACAGGTGTTTATTGTTTGCAAGATAAGAACAATCTGAAGATTGTCAACAAGGAGATTATTAAGTCACTTGCAGCACATCTGAACTGTGGAATATTTCAAAAGGACTCTTTAGATGTTAACTAGTTAGATACTGATCCAGAGTGTTTAATGGCATTCCATTAAGTCAGGAATACAAACCGCAGAGAAACAAATATTATACAAATGATCGTTGTATTTTAAAGGTTGTAATGAAACAAAATGAAAGCCCTCGTCTTTATATTTAAACACAGTAAAGGGGTACAGGTCTCATACCTGGGGTAGAAGGAGGGGATAGGGCTGGAGAAACAAGAAAACAAAAGTCATTAAAAAATGGACAGAAAGCATTAAATGAAGTCAAGTAAAACTTTAAGAGATCTACCGCCCTGATTCTATATTAGGCTTGCAAACTGCTATATTTGCAGTTGCAAATCAGTAAAGGAGTGGGGAGTCTGGAGAGGTGAAAACTGTGTGGACAGAATTGGATGCTGGAAGTACAGCCCCGCCCCCTTTTACTTGCTGTCAGTTTGCGCTGCTCTACAACGCACATGTTTTAACTCAGGAACACTTAGAAGGGCTAAGAAAACCCCTCCTGATCTGTAAGTAAGAGCAAGGACATCTCCGCTAGAAACCAAACAGGAGAATTTTGCAGTCAAATCACATGGACACTCATTGGCTGTCGCGGTTAGGTTCATGGGGTGTGACAACCAATGGTCTGAGAGAACACAGCAATCGTGGAGCATGGACTCTGTCTAGCCTAAGCGTTTTCACGCCGGAAGGAACTTGGATGTCCATGGCTTTGTGCGCTTTGGTAACTAAGCCTTAAGCCTGGAGCTGAAACACCGATGTCACCATCTAAGAAGTATTCCTTTTTTAATTGCTTGATACTTAAAATGGCACGCAAGGGATAAACTGTGTGTTCTGGGCTTCTCCCTGCTCTCTGGTTTGGGATCAGTAGACAGACTGAGGAGGTGTGTCTTGGCAGCAATGGAGTCCTGCAGCAGGCTGGTTTCTCTGGGCTGTCGGTCCAGTGGTAAAGGTTCCGCCCTGCTTCATGTCCTTTTACCACGTGAAGCCTCCCAGAAGTGTCCTTGAGAATAACCAATAGCAGTGGGAACTAAGCACGTGAGGTACTGCTATCAGCACTCGTGTTCTGAAATGTTGCAGATGAATCCTTTGACAATACCCGACCCCCGGCAGATGCTCCTGTCACAAGAAACTACACCCAGAAGCAGTTATCTCCAGACACCGTTCACCAACGCCTGGGGTCCTGAAAGGTGAGGAAAGCCTGCAGAAGAATCTTAAAAGATTTTTAAGCATTTAGGTAATGTTCATATCTTTAAAACATATTTAAATTCACATATCAGTTCTTGTGATGGCACACAGCAATTCTTTATTGGTTCTCCCTAAAAATATCATTTCTCTTAGGGTTTTTGGGCAATAATTGTATTTTTGGAATGTTAAATGATTCACGGAGATTAGGTCTTATCAAATTGGCTTTAAAAATGGATAGCAATTGCAGAGAGCTCTGTGCAAAGCGAGCATCATAGGCCAGAACGCGTGTGTGCACACGTGCATGCACACACACAGACACACACACACACAGCCAGGGGACATCAGAAGTAAACACACATTGGGTTTGATGGCATGTCTGTAATCCCAACATTCAGGAGGCAAAAGTCAGAAGATCATGATTTGGGGGCTAACCTGGGCTTATATAGAGAAAATCCTATCTAGAAAAACAAAGTAATAAACGCACACACACACACACACACACATCCCACATGCAAATGTGTCACTTACAAAGGTTTTCTTAACTTTGCAGACATTGCAAGGGCCCAAACAGCAAACACCATCTTTGTGAAGAAGCATCTAGACACCACAAACACATTCTGCCCTGAAGCTGCTCTCTGGGAGGTGAGTGGCAAATTTCCCTACAATCTGATATCTGAGCCTTTGTCTAGTGTCACGTCTACTTCAGTTTAACTTCTGTTATATTGTAGTCTCGGGTAAGGTGTCAAGGTGCACAGCTGTAGCTCAGGGCTTCCCACTCAGTTCAGGGTGTGACTTCAACATTTCACTCTACATTCAGGACTGCACTTGGGCCCGAGTCTTGAAGGGATCAGGAGGCAGTTCTAGGCTACACAGAGCAGAAAACCTGAGGGAAGACGGGCCAGGGGAAACTAGCTCTGCTGTTTTCTAACTGCACTGGAGTGGGACCCAGCAATGTGAGCCTCAGTTTCCTGGAGTTGGAAAATCAGGTGGAATGCACAGGACAATTCTTGCATTCTTTGGCTGGTTTGTAAAGGCAGGAACAAGCCAGGTCCCACAGGGGTGGAACATGGGGACACTGAACCACTTTATCAAACACGGGTGTGTTTGTGTGTGTGTGTGTGTGTGTGTGTGTGTGTACTTGGGAGGGACTTCTGAAGTGCCGTTGTACTTTCAGGACACTCGGGGGCTAGAGAGGGAAACTGGGCTACCTCTGTCCACCTTTGCCCACCAGCTCACCTCTGTGGCTGCCAACTCCATTGCTGTTTATTTCACAATAAACCAAATGAAACCCAGCAGGCAGACCATCGCCGGTTGGTCCACGGCGATCCGCAGGGCAGCTCCCCTTTCCAGCCAGAAATCGCAGCGCTTGGTGGAACAGATCTCTTTGATCAGCCGCCACAGGACCCGCTGGTGGAGCTTGCTATCCTGCTTCTCCCGAGAGAACTCAGCCTGGTTGGCCGCCTGGGTGGCGTTGACGCAGCTGGTCACCAGCATCTCCTTGGTCACGTTGGCATCAGAGCAGCCTTCGTAGTAGATCCCATCAGGGAACTGCCAGTAGTTGGCGGCGTAGTACCTGTTGCCCTCTGCTCCGAAGTCGATGTCCAGCTTCCGGCCTTGCTTGATGAAGGCTCCTGGGCGGTTCTCAGCTACCCGGGCTTCGGTGATCTGGCCGCTGCTGGGCAGGACCTTCCGGTTCCACTTGAACCTGTGCTTTATGCCCCTCGCCTTGACCGTGGAGAGGTGGCTGGCAAGCAGCATGCAGAGGATGGCCAGCCTCCATGTGCCCAGACGGTTCTTCATGGTGCGAGAATCTGCAAGGGAAAGACTGGGGTGTCACTCTCTCCTCAGGTGGCCTCCCACCCTCCAATGAGTGACAGATTTTAAAGGAATCCTCAGATCATAATGATGTCCCATGCACAGGCTGCTCAGGGTCACTGCCAGCTCGCTCTCTTTGTTTTGGCCAGGGGTTACTCCTCTTGGTCTGATGTTGGCGGTTTGGGTCAGAGCTGTTGACCATGCATAGGAACACAGACGCATAATGGCATAATGAAGGCAGCTTTCTCCTGTGTTGTCTAATCTTTCAAGCTAATGATCCCTGGGTGGTGAGAGTTGGAATCAAAGGGCCTGACCTAGTCTTTCTTACTTTCTAGTGCCCTGAGTTGGCACCATTTCAGACTGGTTCTGCTGTCTACTCCCAGATACTGGCTGCTGGTTCTAAGGAGATCGGTGAGAGGAGGAGGCTCAGTTGGAGGAGAAGGGGAGAGTGGACATGTAGTCAGAGGTCCCAGTATCTTATGTCACCATCAAAATGTGCTGTCAGGAGTGTTCCCAGTCTCACTCAGGGACAATATACCCTCTGTTCATCCTAATAGCTTTTTATCACAAGCTTATTAAGTGTCGGCCCTTATACAATGTTAAGCCTGTTTATAGTATGATCTAATTCTCACAAGGAGAAAATACTTTTATCTGATTTTTGTAACTTGTCCTGGGATTCAGAGATATCTAGTAATTTGCCCTAAGCTGCATGTACTAGGTGACCAGCTCGAACTGAACGTTGATTCTGAGATCACACACCAATAACCGAGTCCTGTGAAGAATTCAGGGGTAGGTGCAGTTAATGGTTTGTGTTGCTAGGGGCATGATGGCTTCTAAGCCAACAGAAATCAGGGCTGTTGAGGGATTCTGAGAGCGGTTAGAGCAGTGGTTCTCAACCTGTGGGTCATGGCCCCTGGGGGGGAAGTCACATATCAGAAGTCCTGAATATTATATTACAATTCATGACAGTAGCAAAATTACAGTTATGACATAGCAAAGAAATAATCTTGTAGTTGGGGGTCACCACAGCATGAGGAACTGTATTAAAGGGTCACAAGATTAGGAAAATCGAGAACAACTACATCAGCACAAAGAGGTGTCACTGAGACTTGGGAGGCTGCCACGGGTACCTATCTCAGGGTCCAAAGAGCTGAGGGTACCAATCTCAGGGAATCTGCCCCACTCCCCTTCACTGGCAGTTCTAGCAGCTGTGACATCTTGCTCCTGAAGCTACAGTGGCCACTGTGGAAATCCACCCTGAAGGCCAACATCAGAGTGTTCCAGCACCAGGGCCTTTGCCTGTGTTCACCAGGGACATAGAGAGAGTCCTACAGCATAATAGGTCAGGGCTGTCACCTAGACAAAGATTTACTATGGGTCCCTGGAGTGCCAGAGCAAGCATTCCTCTGTCACTTACTGTAGCATCCCCAGACAGGCTCAATATTCATGTTAGACTGTTTAACTCTGGGGACAACACTGGTACTTATCTTACAGAACAAAAACCAAAAACAAAAGAAGACCCAAGCTCTCCCAGCCTAAGAGCATACCTTGTCATCTATGGAGGATGCAAAGGGGCCTCACTGCCCCATTCTTGTGAGCCCTGCCTGTCTCAGGCCTTCTATGGGTAAAGCACAAAGCCTCTAATGCCTCCCACCCCAATCACCCCAATGAACCAAAGCAACTTTTTCCCAAAGAAGTCCAAGTACAAACGAAATATTCATTGGTCTTCCAAATAAGGGCCATGGTGTTAGACTACCTTGTGGTAGTAAAATCTTAAATAAGAGTAATAGCAAAAAAGACATTTGAGAGTGAGCCCCACCCCCCAAAACCATTTTATTTTAAGTGAAAGCACAGATTTCTTGAGACAGGACTTAAGTTTTCACAGACAAGGGCTTAAAAGTAGCAACAAAATTCCCACCAGTTAGCCCTAAAGTACCTACCAGTTCCCAGTAGCATCAGAGCATAGGAATACAGAAGCAGCTAGGAATGAATGAGACAGCTCAAGCATCCCTCCCTGCCTGGGACAGGAGGTGGGGGGGAGGCCTGGAAGGGAAGTCACAAGCCACTGCTTGGTCTGGGAAATCCCCCACCACATACCTCAGATCTCTGCTATTGTGGCCTCTGAAGCTTGGAATCCTCACTTCTCCGGAGTGCCTTCCCTAGGCCACCACTCAGCTATATAGGCGCTGTCGGAGGAGGGGGCCTCTCTACCACACGCCAGCCCTCCAAATAGGGAGCCCTTCCCTTTGCAGCAGGACCAATCAGGGGCTCCTGTATCATTCCTCCACCCTGGAAGGTTGGAGCTTTTTGTTACTCTTCACTGATAAAACCACGTGAAGATCTTGATGTTAAGAAAGGCCTGGGAAGAATATTCAGAACTACAACTTGGGCAGCTTTCTATACCCACTGCTAAGGGGGCCTAAGGAAGCCTTGCTGGACACATCTGTTGTCCTGCCCCGTAAGACCAGTTCCAGTGGCAAGGGGCCTCTTTCAGGCAACCTCATGGGAAGGGACAGTTAAGGACTGCCATTTGTCTGGGTTCTCCCCCTCTCCCCCATGCCATGTTGCCGGAGCCCACAAAAATGGAAAAGTGGGTAGGTGGGAAAGCAGGACTAATAAGTGAGGGGAAAGACAAACTTGAGTAGCTCCCAGGACTTTGGGCTAGTTGGGGTCCCTAGGGATACTTGAGGTCAAGGTTAGCCCTAAGGCCAATAGGTTACAGACCTGTGAGAACTGGAGAAGTAGAACCAGAAGGTCAGGAACCAGCTACACACAGATGACGGCAGTAAAAATGCACTCCTCAAGCGAGGGCCTTCCCTGCTGCTCAGGTGCAGTGGGGAAGAGAGCCAGAATCATGCCCCCCTGCCCCATGGCAGGAAGCTCACAGGTACCCGTGACTGTCCCAAGGCCTTAAACACAGGGACTTTCTGGAGTGTGCCTGTTGTGATCACTACCGGAAGACAAAGTTAAAAGTGAGTTCTGGAGGTAAAGATAGTTAAGATTGCCTGTAAACAGAATTGCTGTCTTTGCCTTCAATGGTATCCCACTGCAAGCTAAATCAAGCTGCTTTTCCTATAATGGTCAGCAGATGGCGCCAGAAGAATTTACAAAGATTTTTCCATCTGGTGGTGGACTCATTAGCTACGCCAACAGAACTAAGAACTGTTGTCCTTGGATTGAGGACTTCTAACTGTGCCCCCACCTCACCTCCACCTTTTTGCTTTGCTTTGCTTTGCTTTGTTTGTTTGTTTTACTTTAAAGGTTGTTTCATTTCCTCTCTTAAAAAGATGTTTGTATTTCTTTGTAGACTTACAGACTTTTCTGTGCATGTGAACACACATGATACAAACACCGCCTTGTGCAGATCATTTGGAAATTAATGCAGAGAAACAAAAATAAAACAAAACAAAAACCCAAAAGATTTTGCTACCAGAAGGCAATTTTCTGTGAAATTTTGTTGGTTATACACATGCTTAAGGACATAATTAGGGTTTGCTGCATGCAGAACTGGAAAGGACCCAGAATCTTCTATTTCACCAACTCAGTGCTAATGGTGTCACAGGCTCAGACAGGTTCAAGGCCACTTAGCCTGGAGGCAGTGAGTTCTGGGGCCTCATCCCTCTTTTCTGCACCTGTGAAGCATCCCCACCGCTGCCCACCTCCCTCGGCTTTCTAGTCCTTTTCTGAGTAGGGCTTTGCCAGAGGGTGGTAGGAAGGACCACCAAAACTGAAGAGACTGCAGATTCCTCTGGAGTATAAACAAAGGCTGTTCTCAAAGGCACCAGGAAGGGTGGAAGACATAACATGCTGGAGAATAAGGAGGAATTCTAGAAGCTAAGCCGCTAACAAGACAAACTGAAGTGTGAGCCAGATGCCGAGTCTGCACATCTAGCCCCTGCCTCACACATGGCCTTCCAGCCTCAAAGGATGGGGAAGAGGGAGACTTCTTTACAGGAGCAGAGAGACCAGAGCCAAGGGCATTGTCTCCCTGCCTAGACAATGACAGGAAGGCTACCTAGGTGTAATGGGTCACTCCTAGGATGTGAGTGTTCCGGGACTCCGGGGGCTATGGGATGTCTCTTGTGAATGTACAAATGTTAGAAATTCAAATGTGTTGAGAAGATGTGACAGGAAAAAGGGGGTAACTCCAGTATGCACAAATGGGTCTTTATTTGATAACGTCTTCAATTTGATTAGATCCTGGGCTAGCTAAGAACACTTAAAAACAAATATAGCAACCATCAAGACTCAACCTCCAACATGAAATAGACTCTCCTTCAAAAGCTCCCTGTGTGAGATCACTCTCTGCGTTTGTGCCGAGGAGGAGAATAGAATGGTTTAGCCTCTCCTCTCACCTGAATCTTATTTCCAGGCTGCTCTCAATCATTCAGACCCCCAAGCTTCTCCCACCTCATGAGGATCACATTCCACCATGGATTTGAGCGAAGACACTGAGGTCCCCGGCCCCTGCTCCTCAGTTCTCCATTAACCCCCCTGAGACTCCAGCCCCATGCAGCTCAGTGAAGTGAGCATCAACCACTACCCTCTCATACTCAACTCCCCAATAATGCCTGTCCCTCCTGTATTTGTCAGTCCCTGACATTTGCAGGGACCCTACAGGGCAATGACTAATAGGAGCCAGTCCATTGCATCCTGGTTTCCCCTGTGTATTCATTCCTTAAGGTCAGGCATCCTTTCTCTAGAGGAGAGCTGGGCAGTCGAGTTAGCCACTTTTCCTGTTTCCACAGTGCTCAGTGGATCCCATCTGCCTCCTTGGTCTCACAAACCAGGCTCTGATGCTATTGGAGCTTCTTTAAAAGTCCTTCCAGCTCGAGTGGATTGGCTGCTGAGTGTCCCTGAGTGCAAGGTGTTCGGTACTGGGTCGTAATTAAGGTTCCGCCTACAGACTGGATGGTGTATTTTTCCCTTCCTTTATATGGAAGATCAGTCTGCAAGGGTATCTGTTATCTTCTTCACCATGGTTTTGGATCTGAGGAAGGATTCTTTAGCCTACATCTAATTTTCATTCTTTTGCCATTGCACCCAACTAGCTGTAAGAAATAGCAAGCCAATGCCTCCATCTCCTCTCTTCTTCTTTTACTTTCCTTGACGAGTTAGAGGTGAATGTGTAGGCTACATCCATGTACCTTTTCTCCATTGTAAACCCTCTCCCCCTTATACAGGCAAGTTCTTTCAGGGAAAACAGCTCAGATTAGTTTACACGTCTCATTACCCACAACACAAGCCATACAGCTGATACCACAGCTTGCGTTCAATCCCATATGTGATACTGTAGGGATTATCACGTATTCTGTAGTTCACCAGAGGTTTGAGGGGCATCCCATAGTCACATGGTAGCTCATCAAGGAAGCAGGGACTCCATATCACATAAAAGAAGATGTCCACCCTAATATTCCCCCCATGGACAGCCGTTCTCTGGCAACTCAGTCCTGGCTGGATGTCCTAACATTCATCTCAGGGAGCATGTAACCAGTACTACCTCAAGGAGGGGCCAATAAATCGTGGACATGTTCTCTCAAACTGTCAGCAAAATAAATCCTCCCCCCTTCTCTGTGTCAGGTACATGGTCATAGTGACAACAAAGTCACTAATACATCCCCACCCACATCCTATGAAAAGCAAACGTGTGTTGTTTATAAGGAACATGGTGATATGCAGCAGGGAGGGCTAGAGGCTGCTCCTCACCTCAGGCAGTTAACCGTGTGCCCAGGTTTCCTTAGACCCTAACACGCGTCATCCCTAAACCAGCAGGAAAAGGTCCAAAAGGACATTTCTGAGGACAGGCAGTGTCACTGTCATAGTCCTGGGTGGTCTTTACGCTCAGGGAGGTCCTCAGGTGCTGGGCATGAGTTCTGCCTCCAGCCACTGAGGTTAACACACTAGAGGACAGCGTGAGCCTTTGCTCCCTCATGGGAAGAACCCTTTGCCTTAGACAGACAATGCCTTCTGGGCATCTCGGTGGGGGGAAGGTCACAGTTGACAATGACAGTTGGTTCCCACATCTATTCATGAGGTGCCACAGGTCCCATGTCACAACTGCTACAATGAAGGCTTAGCAAATGCGGCTGGGCACATACACTTGGGGGGACAGGGTTCCATACACGCTCTTCCCCTGAAATAGTATAAAGCCTTGTAAGTGTGCAGTGGCTGGTTTGAATGCACAAGCGTGTGTTAGCATGTTAATTAGTGGCCTACCAGAAGCATTAGCTTTAGGGCCGTAAAGGCAATTGGCAGAGAATAGCAAGCCAGAGACTGGATCTGTGATAACCCTTGATCTCAAATCAAAGCTCTATGCAAGTTAGCTTTGGCGGAGAGAGCAAATACCAAGCTGAGGAGCAGTCAAGAAACTGCCAAGGTCACTTCTTGGAACCAGATCTTGCAAAAGTAGGAATCAAGGACTCAATAATTCAAGTGCTCTTGTTGAAGTATAACACACAGAAAAATGCACAAAGACACAATTTAGTAATTTTAAAAAACAAACTTTATACCTCTATCTATGTAGATAATAGATTATCCCAATCCTCGGGTCCTCAGTGGTACCCAGTGTCTTGACTTCTAATATCAGGCTAGACTTCCTTGTCTTTTGTTCGGACTATAGATGAAATCACACGATAGGTTCTCCTTTATGACTGGCTTCTTTTGTTCAGCATCATGTGTATGAGATTCATCAACATTGTCAGAGATATGATCTTTGGATTCTTGTTGCTGGTATTTGGCTATATAAACAGACCACAATCTATTTCTGTTCATCTATTGTGAATGAATCTATTGCTATGAAAATTCTTGTGTAGGTGTCTTGGTAAAGATAGTTTCCATTTCTGTTGGACAAATACTTAGGAGTGGAACTCCGGCCATTGGTGAGGCATCTGGAGTACCCTTATGGTGACATCCACCTCCGACATGGGTGTCTTCAATATCAAGGATTGGCTAAATCTTCATTTCACTTTAACTGACATATGGAAAAAGAATCAGATTTTGCATCTGGATATGAACCTAAAGTCAGTGGAAGGTGACAAGCAGGTGAGGTTCATCTAGGGGAGGAAGGCCAGATACAAAAGAAAGTCACCACAGGAAAGGCCAAGTCATCCTAGACAACACAGACAGGATGACCCATGCTTGAGGATTCAGC